TTCCACATCACCGTAACTGCTATGGACAGGTTTCGACTTAATTGCCTGAAATTTCACTAACATAAGTGATGGGATCCAATGTCCCTTCGCAGTACCCATGTCGCCTTTAATTTCCTTATGCGCACTGTCTGTCTATAAAATTAGTAAAAAAATCCACAAAGTTAGAAGTTCCAATAATGGCTCAGTTAATTCAACTGAAAATCGTGTACTCCTTCAGTGGGGCTCAAACGCATTGCACGTCCGATATGCCACCAATGGCATGTCACTTAATCTAACGAACGCTTTCATTTGCGTGATTTAATCAATTGCCTTCGCATTACGTTGTTGATAACTGCAGCCTAGTTAACGCGCAGTTCTTTAGTAACTTTGTTGTTCTACTGGATCCTAAGTTGCGAATCCACCTTTATATTAACTGTCTGTGTTAATAAAGCGTTTTGGTTTTATGAAACGTTGAGCTAAGGAATTTAACGATCTGTACGCTTGTGTGTAGAATACTTGCTCATGGGTTAATTACCGACTTACAAGTCAAACGTCGACTGTGTTGTATTTTTTTTATTTGCTCTCGTTAGTTTGCGTTGCAATACCTCGGTGATGCTGCCTACATATGAGCGCGGGGTTACACTGGTTAACCTACCATCTTTGCAGACAAGACACAAAGTATTAGCAGTTACCTTCCTCTCTAACATGATAATACGCCATTTGAATTCGCCAGTTCTACTTGGCGTGATGGGTTTTCACGTTCCTAACAGACGCACTAGAAACTATGATCGCATTAACTTTTCTCAATGCCGCACAAATTATTAGTTATAGCAGCTTCGATTCCTCTCTCAGCCTCTTCCCAAATGAGTCTCAGCCTCTTCATAATGAGTCATACCTATGGTTCGGTCAAGATTCGGGTTTAATGCATCCAATCAACGGTATCCTTTCCCGATTGTAGTGTTGATGCACTCACATTTGTTGGCAGCAGCTAGCAGTCATTCAATACTTTACAATTCATACGAGTATGATTATCTGAATAGCAACACATACATTTATAAGTATTATATAGAATACATATTTCCATAAGCATATAAATATTATGCATTTTCCGTTTGTGCAAACTATGTCAATTATTTAAGATTAATCTATCTGAATGTTAACACATTTATTTACAAATACTACAAAGAGTGTGTATATCCATAAGACTACAAAAACTGTATACATTCCATTTGTGTGTACTATGTAAAGTATTTAACGATAAAACTATTTATCTGATCATAGTTCTGATTGCCATATTGTCCCATTAAATGCATTATTTGTAGTGATCGACGGTCAAACTTAGCTATTAATTGGTTAGTTATATTATTAGAATAATTAATTAATTGATAATAAATTGATATTTAAATATTAATTAATTATTTATTCGCATATACCATTTGGTTATATAATATATTATCACTATTCTCCTCTGATCTTATCAGGAAAAGTGTAATATTATAACTATTTTTTGTTTTTTTGTTTTTTTTCTTTTCCTTGCTCTTTCTGTTATTTGAATTTTCTAATGTAGCTAGTAAGTGTAAACTAAAGTAAATAAATAAACATATAAATTACTGTCAATAAATTACATAAGATGTAGAAAACTGTGTGAAGATTACTGCTTTGGTTTTATATAAGGATAAAACCAATTTAACAAAGACTACTCTGCCTTAATATGATTTCAGTCTATCCATTGTACTTTACTCGTCACCTGCTATATCTATACATTAACTTGGATGAAATGTACTCCCATGAACTTTTTCAAAATAAAGGTTAATAGCAAAAATAGTCAGTATGAGGATTACGAACTTCTCCAAACCAAATATAATCTTGTTCAAAAATTTAATACCAGAATTTCTTTACTAGAGGTCCCATCTATTTGTTCTGTGCAAAAATATTTCCTGTCAATCGAATGATAATCCTTAGGCTTTTTTTTTTAATTTTATATTTGCTTAAAGCGATGGATACCCAAAACACTGTATAACTTGCAAAGAAATCGAGTCCACACCGTCGGCGAGAAAGCGAAATGAAACTACAGGGAAGCAGCAAAAAAGCAAGATCAAAATCAAGAAAATTATTAGCATCGACGACATAGCTGAATATTATCATCATTTAGGGTCGTCATCTGAATGCAGTGTATGGTGCGTTATTCCACGCACGAAAAGACCGACAAGAACAATGGAAATGAATTTCTTGTACCAGCAATCAGTACCTCGTGATTTTTGGCAAGATCACGAAACAACAGAAAACATAATGTTAAGAAAGGCATTTATTAATACGGGGCTGCAAATTTAGGACTACTTTAGCACGACTAAACTTATTTGGAACAAAATACTAGTGTTATCTCATGCAAAACGATTACCCTATTTTTATTCTAGTTCAAGACGTATATGGGCTGCTTTAGATTCTCAGTTTTCCAAACTTATTACTCCCACCACTTCATATGAACAAGTTCACTTATCCAGCTTTATTTTAATTTCATCTGTGAGCATATTTTTTCTTAGCAAGAATTGCATCTTCACAAATTGTTACATCTCTTACCAGCATATTAAAGACCAGCAATTCATTTTGTGATGAATGTAAAAAAGGGGTAACGCGCTTCACTTAGTTAAACTTGGAAGAAATTGATACAAATTAAATGAGTTCTTAATTAAATGAATTTTACTTCTCCATAATGCTGTTAGCTATAATAACATTTAAAAATGCAAAAATTACTATGGCAATGTTTAGTTTCCCCATTAAGTAAACCGTTAATTAATTACACAATTTAGAAAATATTTTATTTTTCAAATTTTAAAATTCTCACCCGTAAATATAATTAAGAAAAAAAAAAAACCAAAAAAAACAAATAAATAAATAAATAAAAAAGCTGATCAAATTGATATGTATGCATATAAGTACATAATTGTCTATGTACGTATACATATATACCTGCTACTAAAACAAGCGTTATGAACGATATAAATCAAATTAACTTTTCCACTTAAACAAAAAGCGAAACAAACTAACCAAAAATAAAATTCGAAACAAAAAGCAGAAATACAGAAAAACACAATTGGCTTCTCTCGTAGCGAACTATTATTGGACACATGGATGCACACACAAATATATGTGTATATATATATATATATGCTGCAAACATAGTTATAAATGTTAGTTAGTAGTTTTAAAAACATTTATAGCTAACAATTTTCCAGTATCTCCAATATTGAAGCTTGATTTAATAGCAAAATAAGTAAAGTGTGAAAAATTTAACATCTTTTTCAAACATGAATGAATGAACGTTGAGTTGTATGTCATGTTGTTTTACGTATTCGAATAGAGAAGGTGCTTGTATGCACATTTATTGGACATGTAAGAGGACGTACGTGCATATGCCACCCAGCTAAACTACGCAATAAATAAAATTTGTAAACAAAGAAAAAAAAAACGTTTCAGTCGCCTTATGACGGACGAGTCTTTTAGATTTGCATCATCAAGGATAGGTTTTACTTTTTCTTTTCTTTTCATTTTATTTTTTTTTTTTTTTTTCGATACAACCAATCACCCAAGGGATGCTCTCTACGCGTGTAAGAGGATTATGGTCAGAGAGAAATGGGGCTGTAGAAAAAGGCAGAGATGGGCGATGGCGTGCGTGCTCAATCGGCTAATGTTATGCCCTTTACTGATTAGGCACTCGCCATGACACTCACGACCAAAATAAACTCTGAGATATTGGTAATCACGGTTCGTACCAATTACTCATACGGGTACAAGGATATATTAAGCTTGTCTAAATGTACAACAGCAACAGCCGGAAGTACTTGAGATAGAGCTACTATTTACTGCACGGATCAATTGAGATTTACTTTCTGAACCGATTTAAGCTTTTTCATCCGTTTATCCGTTTTATAATTTTATATTTAACCTACAGGTCGCAAATTTGGAGATATTTTTATGAAATTCGGCTACCCTTGCGTATTATGTCCTATGGGCATGTCCTTTAGCCAATCAAACACAACTAGTTAGTCTAAATTGCAAGGATTTTCGTCAAATTACAGGATAGTCGTTCTTGAAACAATCCCCTTTGTACATTGATGAAGTAATGCCAAGAAGTCAAGCACGTCTTTTCATTTCGAGCCTCATATAGACTAACGGCTGGATAAATTATGTCTAACTAACTTGTTGCGAATTCTCCTCTTTTTGATGTTTATAAATTCCTTCAAATGCTCCGACAATGATTTTTGAGTGATAAACAGATTAACAAAATTATCGAACCCTTATATTCCTTTCGCTGGTAGATTAAAAAAAAAAGAAGTCACAAAATGAAAACACCAATAGCGACAAAAACAAGAACAACAACAATAATTTCTGATTGCCTTTGATCAATATAAAGAGAGCTAAAGCAAACATGTCACTTTAGTTAAATCAATATGCATATATAACTATGCAGATTAGCATGTTTTTATCTATGTCTATATGCATGTATATGCACAGTACGTATCTAGGATGTGTTTTTCTTTTCTTTTTTTTTTTTTGCATTTTGCATACATGAGTCTGTAGTTTATGTCATTACCAGTTGCTTGCTAGCTAGCACTATGGGAAAATTCTCATAAATAGTTTGTATACGCGCTTGTGCATTGTGTATTGACCGTATAACCAATAAAAAAAATTTTAAAAAAATTTGTGGAAATAACAACACAGCACAGATTGACGACAAAATGTTATACAGTGTTTATTATTGATTAATATGGAAGAACGCGAAGAAAAAAAGTCAAACACAAAAATGTGTTTTAATTTAATTAAATATATTTGTGTATGTTGTGTATTGTTCGGTTGTCACAGATAAGCTAATATGGACCGAACCGGCCATTTTTTCTCAAATACGATGTGATTATAATCAAAAAGTATACACGGGTTTTTTCGGCGTGAGAATACAATGCTTAATCTCTGGTTTTTTTTTTTTTTTTTTTTTTTTTTTTTTTGCAATATTCTAAGGCACTAACCTGTTTTAATGTTAAGCGGGCCGTATATCTTAAATCGCTGCCCTCCCGCTTAAACATACCATGTGGCTTATCACGTATTATGAACACAATATCGGCCGGTATTCTGCCCGGTATTTGATCGCCTTCCTTCTGAAACGTTACTTTTGTGCCTGACTTCCAACCTGGCTTTATGGATATGCTTACGTATTTATCTTCTTTTTTTGATGTACCGTCCGGTAATTGAACACGCCGTGAGATTTTCATTTTTTTAACACAACCATGATAGATTTCCTCAAGCATCACATAGAGATCATGTTCAACGGGCGGATCTTGCGGCTTCTCTTTTTTGAACGGCGTGTGAACATTAAACGAATGCGATCTGAATGAAGTAGGTCTTAATATTTTTAACTTTTTTATATATCCATAAATTATTAATATAAGTAAATAATATGTAAACCTACCTAAAAGCGCCACCTAAACCTTGCCGTGGACCTAGACCGGCAAAAGGTGATGCAAAAAAATCATGATCCGTATCCACATCGAAAACATTCTTATCGAAAAGATTATCGCTTATATCGAAGAATGAAGCAAACGGATTGCTAGACCCAAAAAATTGGGCGAACGTAGCTCGGGGATCACCATGAAATTGATATGTAAATGTTCCGTTCGTGTTACCACCATTACGAACGCCTACGTAAATAGGAACAAATCAATAATAATGTAAAATTCAATAGGCTATCATTTAAGCTGTCTAAGACTTACCCCCACTTTTCAAACCCTCTTCACCATATTTATCGTAAATTTCGCGTTTATTTTTATCGGCAAGCACTTCGTACGCTTCCGCTACTTCTTTAAATTTCTCTTCGGCATTGGCCGCTTTATTCTTATCAGGATGGTAACGCAGTGCCAGCTTCCTATAAGCTTTCTTAATTTCCTCATCAGTGGCCGTTTTAGGTAAACCCAGAATTTTGTAATAATCTTTGCCCATGTTTTACTCAAATCGATGTTAAGCAAGCAATGCTACACAGAGTAAGATTAGAAGAAAATGCTTGCCTTTCTGCGTCTTCTTGGATGTAACTCTATCACGTAATATTTGACCGATCAATGGTAAATTTATTTCTTATATTTCCTAAAAAACAAAAAAAAAAGTAAGTAAAAACTTAAATTAAGATTAAAATAGGAAACAAAATTATTTACAATTTATTCTTCATATCTACAAAAACTTACGAATTTAATGATTTTACGAAATTTGCAGAATCCTTGGCAATTTTTTTTTTTCAATTTTTTTTTTTTTTTTTGTAACTGATTTAATTTATAGATTAATTCGTTTATATAGGCGTTTGAAATTTTCCTGTTTTACTCGAAACCTTGTCCAAAATAACTAACATTTTCCAGCAAACAATTGACTAAATATCTGTTCGGTAGCTATTATTTCGAAAACTGAAAACACAAGATAAACATAAAGAATATAAACGAAAACAATTTTTTACGTTTTGTTAAAAAAAACCAAGAATATATTCAATGGTTAAACTTTTCCAAATGAAGAAAACAAAATGGGAGAAAAAAAAACAAAAAATATCTTTGAATATATGTATGTAAATATGAATGGATGACAACAACTTATCACAAATTTCTTCACTGAAGATTTAATTCATTTTTAAATAATAATAATATGCTCATGAACATATGCACATACGTCAGAAAAATCGAAGAAAGAGAATTGAAAAAAAATCATCGAACACACAAAACATCGAAAATTTAACACTCACTCAATCCATTTACTCGATTCCATATAAATACCGATTCGGCAAATATTTGTGCGGATGTTTATTTATTTTCCCGTAATGTACAAACTATCAACCCTTGTAAATTCCAAATTTTTCAAACTTGAGAAGTTGATCTTGTTTACATTAACATATAACTGTGGACAAAAAGCAATGAGACTGTATTTTTTTTTTAAATACCCGCGCTATTATATCGATGTGTATATTTTTTGATACGTTGGTATAACTATTGCGAGCGCACGCAATTGATTGGAATAAGCTTGCTAATGGAAATTCTTGCTTAGTAAGTTTGATTTTGACATTCTGTTTAGAGTCACAAGGAATTTCCTTCCCTTTCGTAGGACTAATTATAAACTCTTTTTTAAGTCATTATATATAAATAATTTAGTGATGTTTACTACTTGTTGTGCGATGAAATCGTTGTTGCTTTACCTACACGACTTAAAGTGCCACTCAAAGCAGCTCAATTCATCATAAGGCGAATCTTTGGAATTTACGATATTTTTACGACTCTCTTAATGTTTTTTGTCTTTTATTCAGTTGCTAATCCCATCCTAAAGGGCCGTTGTAATGGAAGAACCTTCATTATACTCTTCATTGTTTACGAGACCTAATTTCTACTCTTCATTATCTACGTTATTAGTTGCTGTACGTATAGTCTTTATATATATTTTTTTTTTGTTTTTTTTTTTTTATATGACCAATCATTCAGGGGATGTCACCAATTCCTGTAGCACGGCGAGGGACGCAAAGCAGTGCGAAAAGAGAAGGAGAAAGGGAAACGTCAGCAGTCTAAAGGCAAAACGCTTGCCGGCTGGACGCTCACTATAGGTATGACCAAAATAAACTCAACCGCATTGAGAATCGAACTCGCGAACTTGGTAGTCGAGATTCTTTATTAACTTAGCTACTAATGCGGATAACCTTTATTTACACGGCATAGTCCAACGTTGTTCTGTATTGACTGTTTACTAGGTAAAATTGAATGTATATAAATAAATAAAATTTGTTCATATTTGTAGAGACATATCCCTAGTTCCCTTGAACAGGCGATGAATATTCGTTAGCAGCCAATCCTTTGCTTTATTCCTCTAAATGTGTGAAAATTTTCATGTCAAGCCTGTTAAAGTACATTTTGCGTTAATGAGGTTGGCAACCCTAAGAAAGAAGATACGAAGTCACATGGTACTAAAGCGAACTCTCGATACTCGCGATAACTTGGGAGTTAACACTGGCGAAATTATGAGCCACGTTCTGGAATTTTCACAGGGCACATGAAGAAACTAACAACATTTTTCGAAAAACATTTTACTAAAGATCCAAAGGGACGCCGCGGCTCTTGCAAAACAAACTGCTTTCTTATAGCACTTCGTTGGTTCCTGTTCTTTATTTAAAACAAGAAACTAGAAAGGTTCCTGAAAGTGTGTTAGTATATCTAGTAAATAACGGGGTAGGATTTTTTTTTAAAGTTTTATTTTGGGACAAGAGGAAACACCGAGCCAAAAAAACTATTTTCACCTTTAAATACTCTATACCACCCTATGGCGATTAATCAAACGACTTTTGAAAATAAAACGTCATAAGAAAACTAATCAACAAAATTGTCCGATCCGAAGCCTTTTCAATAGCGTTCATCCTCAGGTGAGAAGATGTCGATGTACCAAATCTTGTCGAAATATTTCAAAAATTGCGGCTTGTAGGTTGAACGCCAGAAAACAATACGATCATATGGACAGAAAAGCTTTTATCGATTCCTAAAGTGACTTTGAAGGCTTCAGAAAATGAGTGTGAATCTACCGGTATAATAAAGTCTCAAGCCTCTCCGTTCGCATACATTCAGCCTAGCTTAATATGCTACAGGACCACAAGTGGTGTAAGGTATTAGAATGGTATTCAATTTTATGTTAAAAAAGTTTTCGTCGAAGAACCGCATTTGAAATCGATTTTAGTAAACCAAAAGAAGATCCTTCAATAGAGAATATTGGTATAAAGGAATAGTTGAAATTGGAAGCCAATCGTTTGAGAATTGAAAATTCAAGAAACGCGGCCAGCATAAAATAAATAATTCCGACGAGCGGAAACGTATTAACAATGATTTCATTCGAAACGTCGAATTTTGAAACTTTAAGATGTTATTTTTGAATATACAAGAATCCATTTAAATAGATAAAAACCTTGCGAAAAATCTTTTTAATCTAAGACATGCGAACCTATTTTCATACTAACTTGGTTGCCGAGTCTATGAAGTATTTCACACCAAACTTGTTGCCGGTTCTTTGAAATATATGTTCGATAATAGATAAGGAACAAGTTCTTGGCCTTTTTCACATTTTTCTTAGGTTGTTGGTGAACTATGTTAAAACAAATATGTCATTTTGATCAATAACGGTTTGCTATGAGATGCCTGATTTTAAACCTAATTTTCGGAGGCTCAAGTTTCAACTCAATTCTTGTTAGTTGTAAAAAGCCTAATGGCAGGCGCCGAAGAGACTGGCAGATGAACAGGAGTTTTAGGCGGACGGACGGACACCGTCAAATCAACGCAAAGTTTTACACCGTAACGCTTAAGAATCGTTAGTGTGTCTTTCTGGCTGTTACAAGCGATAAAGCTCTAATTTAATAAAATAATATATAGAGTTAACTATTTTCCCTCTAACATGTTATGACTTTTAAATGACAAATTTTTCCGTATCTGTTTGGTAATACAATAAAAGCTTTATAAACTGCAAGCCTAATGGCTCGCTGTCTTCTATTTTGTTATTTACTTTTTGCTTTTGCTTATTCGTTGAAAACATAAGTTAACGATTTGATAAACACCCAAGAAACAAGACAAGTTTATATTGCTTAAGAAATCGTTTAAGTGTTTATGGTAAAAGAGTTCTATTTGCATGTAAGCTCACTTAAAGATTGTTTACCAAATTTTTGCTTACGTAGACATTATAAATTTATTTGTTTTAAATTGAATAGTACATTGTCAGCTGTCAGGCGCCGGCAACATGTCAATAGCAATGATTAATGTTGTATGTGCGACAGACAAATCTATTGACAAACGCTTCGGCTTCCTTACTATTTAAAACAAAGAAGTGCACATAGATTCGAAATACCCATAACTCCGCTAATAGGGCGGACTTTCGATATGTAAGAGGTTCCTTATCTAAATTGCTCCGCGGTGAAGATTGGCGATTTATAAGTAATAATTATCAAAGTCTACAAAAAATTTGTAACTAAATAAATGGAAGTACAATGAGCAGCAACGCGTAGCCGGCATTATTAATGAAAAATCTTTAAAAGGAATTAATGAACATTTCTTCACCTTATTAACTAAATTTGTTATGTTATTATATTGGAAGGTGCATGGGGCCACCTCCGACCATCTCAAATGAACGCATCTTAATAAATATATATCCCAGCAAATTTTGTTGTGTCGGATAAAAGAGGACGATTTTTGTACCGTCCTATATGCATAAAAGTTTGGATCAATAAATCACATAAGATCAAAGTTGCGGGCAAATCACGCCAGCTTTTTTACTACTGTGTTATGCGTATATGTTTGAAGCTGCAGTTATATGCCACGAATTGTAAGTTGCGGTCTTTTGCTTATTATAGCCGTAGATAAGCACGGATCACTTTCCTTTTTCAAACTCTGCGCGTCAGTATATATTAAGAGTCCATTTTAACTTTCTATTCCAATTTTTGCCTTCGGGTACTCTCCTAGCGAAGATATTTTCAAACAGAAATGTGTTGGCGTAGCCTTATAAAGGCTAAAGTGATTCGAAAGCTCACAGGGCTATCGTCAAAAAATTAAAGGTTTAGAACGAAGGTTTTGGTGTTCATTATGAAGTCAGTTATAGCATTGTACACTTTCTTAATGCTCTCTACGTCATTTCCTTAGTCGTAAAGTATGAAATTTATGGCCCCTGCATCTTTGGCAGATGCAGCAAAAGAAATTTTTTCGAACATAACACCTTTCAGGAAAATGGACGAATATTTTAATTTTCGTTTAAATATTCGCCAGCCGCACGAAAATGAATATTTTTCAAAATTCTACGCATATGTCTAGCTAGAGTCACAACGATTGAATGATTTTGTTGCTTGCCCCAGAATCTTGAGAGCATGATGCCAGGGTTGCCCATTTTAATATTTTTCAAAAATATATTTTTTTAAATTTAAACATACGCTTAATGGGCCTTTCGAATACAATTATACTATTGTCTATTTTTCCAATTCAAAAAAAAAAAAAAACGAACGACATTTTTTTAAGCTGTTGCAGTGATCTTAGCTCTTAAGTAAACGCGTTTCAGGTTCAAATCCGTAGACAAGAGAAAAATTATATACGATTAGCTTGTGTTGGGACAATTTCAATTAATTTTAATCGTTGCATATACTTAAGCGCCTTTGAACGGATGGTGGAGATGTGTTATTACATAATCATATTTTTATACAATTCTTGAAAAGTCAACTAAGTCAAATAGAAAGCGCATCTATTACTATATTAGAACATTGTATGCGCATTCGTAGGGCGATATAACTTATCTGACCTGTATGACTATCAAGCCTAACACTTGCGACCTAATTTTGGTGACCTAATTCAAAATCTCTATGTGTCGTACTAATCGTTTATCTCGTTTTCAAAGTCACAAAAGAAAA